AATCAATGCACCACAAGGTCTGATGGACCATAAAAGACATCCATGAGGACTAATTTGCTGCTGATGAGGTTAATTATAGCTGGAAAACGTCGTTCTTAACACTTCCACCTCCTTCTGCGGCGTTCATGGCAAACATCTTTCAAAAAGAAAAGAAAGAAAAACATTTCTCGGGTTGTTTTGAGAAGGAGAGGTGTGACGGTGTCAAGGTCAGCCGAATCACGTTGTTGTTGGTTTCTCTCTCACTTTCTCCTCTCTCGTTTTCTTCTCTTTGAAGTGAGCTCCTGCATAAAGCAGGTCGCGCCGATTCGGCCTCCCGAAAACTTAACGTTGATTTGGAATTCTGAGCGCAATTCCATTCACGCAGCCAATGCAAGATTCATAAAGCGATATGTTAATGCGTCCTTGCCCCTCATGAGGAGGCCACCATCCACCATAAAAAAGGAGCTCAGTGCTAATAAATATCCAGATACAGTGCAGTATGGGTGAGTGATTAGCATTTTCCTTTTTTTATGTAAGTAATAAACCACTGTGTGGTGCTGTTATAGCAAAATAAATCAGCGCAGAGCAATTTCCCAACGCTAACACGTTTTTGTTAATTAAACAATGACACATCATACATTTTATCCCTTCATAGTTACGTTGAATGTTGTGGCTTTTCATGTTACTGAAAAGCATGCAGCCAATGCAATTTCACCATATCAATGATCATATGTTTTTTTATTTTCATTTTTTAATCGAAATTTTTAATTCTTTTTTTTTTTATTTTGAATTTTGATCTTGTTTTAATTTGTACCTGCAGATGAAAGTGATGTAATTGCATGTAAACAACAAAAAATCACTTTGTTTTCACTTATTAAACAAAAATGAGTATTTCAACTGAGGAAAAAGTTAGGACACCCTATGCCCTAATAGCTGTTTTGTTTTTTTTTCACTTTTCAGCCAGTCCTTGGTGGATTTACTGGTATGTTTTGGGTCACTGTCATGTTGCAAGGTCCAGTTCCGCTTCAGCTTCAGTTTTTTGACAGATGGTCTCACATGTTCCTCAAGCACCTTCTGATACAATGTAGAATTCATAGTGGATTCTACGATGGTGAGCTGGCCAGGTCCTGCTGCAGCAAAGCATCCCCAAACCATAACACTTCCACCTCCATGTTTCACAGTTGGTATGAGGTTCTTTTGCTGAAATGCTGTATTTGGTTTACGCCAAACATGCCCTCAGTTATGGTGTCCAAATAATTCAATTTTCGACTCATCTGTCCAAAGCACATTATTCCAGAAGTCTTGGCCTTTGTCTATGTGTTCTTTGGCAAACTTCAGTCTTGCCCTCATGTTTTTTTTAGACAGCAAAGTTTTCCTCCTTGCACACCTCCCATGATAATTAAAGTTGTGCAGTCTCTTTCTGACTGCAGATTCATGCACTTTGACATCAACTATAGCAAGAGCTTGCTGTAGGTCCCGTGATGATATTTTAGGGTTTTTGGAGACTTCTTTAAGCATCTTGCGGGCTGCTCTTGGGGTGAATTTGCTTGGAAGCCCTGACCTGGCCATGTTGGCAGTTGTTTTAAATATTCTCCACTTTTCTGGACAGTGGAATGGCTGATTACAAATTCTTTTGAGATCTTTTTAAATCCCTTACCAGACTCATAAGCATCAACAATCTTCTTTCTGAAGGCCTCAGAGAGCTCTTTGGATCTCACCATGGTGATACCTCGCACTTCAACAATTAAGAGCAAACCAAACTAAATGTCTGAGGTTTAAATAAGGCAAGCCTCCTACAAAATGCTCTGTAACCATGTTCTAATAATTTGCACCTGATGTGATACACCTGTAGGTAATTTTAGCCATTTTAAGTACAAATAAATGTGGGGGTGTCCTTACTTTTTCCTCACAAGAATTTGGATTTTTTTTTTTTAATTACATTTTACAGATCAAAAAGACTTTTCTTTGGTTTTATTTGTTTAGTTATATTACTTGAATCTCCCAATATTGTTAAAATGAAGATCAAATGTCCATATGTTTAAGTATGTTAAAAAAAAAAACACAGGCTTTCATGGGATGTCCTAATTTTTTCACATGACTATATATAATATTTGCTATGTAAAGTATGTAATCCCTGAAGGGTGAAAAAGATTTTTCAGAAATTTGCTTGCGTTTTTAATTGTAGAATTTTAGAGTCATTTCTGAAATTCTAAGATTATTTTTTTTTCCCCATTCAGATTTCTGAATTTTTAACCTACATTAATAGGAAATGATTCAGAAACGTAAAGAAATGATATGTACCTTTTCCAAAGATCTTCACATCTGAGGCATTCTTCCCACTGCACGCTCAGAGAACTCGACAGGAGTAATGTAACCATCTGATCTACGAGCTGCATCAGTAACGTACAGCCGGTTCAGTTATATAACACTGCTGGTGTATTAAATCCCCTCAGCAGCTACCTGAGCTTCGTCCTCGTCCTTGTCCTCATCCTTATTTCTTTTTCTGAAGCACTGCGCGATTGATTTTGAAACCTTCTCACCTCGTTTTTATGGTGATGAGCTCCAGGAAAATATAAATACACAGCCGAGATTAACAATGACGTGCGGGTTGCTGAAGAACTCTTTATAGCTTTATGTTCAGGAATTGATTTAAAGATTATTTGTTATTTGTTACTGATATGTGTAGGATGTAGTCGGAGAATTGAAGTCGGACAACGTGTGTGATAGGAAGCTAATATTCTTTGAGCTAATTTTAGTTAAGCATTAGCTACTCTGGTGCATTAGATGTAGATTTCATCAGAGCATCCTAATGCTTGTAAAAGATGAATAAATTACTGCTTCCCAATAGCATTTCTTTATTAACAGCATTTAATGTCAGTGTTAATTTTCCCACACAATATTTATTTAACGTTCCTTTTACGAAAATAAGAGCCCACCATCATGGCGAATTGAGGTGTACATCAGTGCCCACACACACACACAAACACACACACACACACCTGCTATAGTGAGATAACTCCAGGGTCAGTGTAGGACGAGCTAGCGACATTTTTATCTGCCGAAGTGTCTGACTCATCTCATCAAAGCTGCCTTCTGCTCATCCCTCTTTCCTTCATTGAGTCTCTCTCTCTCTCTCTCTCTCTCTCTCTCTCTCTCTCTCACACACACACACACTTTAAAATCATAAATGCTTAGTTGCCACTACAAAGCAATGTGCCAAACTGTCATTAGAATACAGAATAAATCACAGTGTGTGTGTGTGTGTGTGTGTGTGTGTGTGTGTGTCTTTTACAGTAAAATATTGTGAGATGGTGCGGTGTGATGAATCGGAGTTACTGTTACCACTGTGACGTTGATTATTTTTCTATAACAGCATATCCCCCCTTCTCATTTTTCTCTCTCTCTTAAAGTTAATACGACAAAAATACCCACACAGACACCGAGAAACCACAAAAAAACAGTGTAAACTGCTCTGTCCTGAAACCTTAAAGTTACAGCTTTCCCTCCCTTACAAAGCGCTGACACTGGAGACTCCTTCCATAAATGTTAAAATACGGTAAATATCTCCTTCATCATATCAACGATTACACGTTTTTTTTAATCAGTTTATTATTAGTAATTGCGTCCGCCCTACAATTCCCTGTGAAAGAGCCGTTATTATAGAAATGATACCGTACTAAAACGAGCACATTTATATAAACCTGTGATTTGCAGCTGCACTACTGCCAGAGCTGCTGTTATAGAGAATTAATCAACACCTTCTGACCAATCACAATCCAGAATTCAACACCGCTGACAAGGAATACAAGTGAACATAATCACTGGATGTAGACCAACCCAAAAGCACATGATGGAAAAGCACTTATCACCATGGAAACCGTGATACACTCATGAATAATCATGTGCAGTTGGTGATAATAAATTATTATTATTATTATTATTATTATTATTATTATTATTATTATTATTATGAATTTGGACATTATGGTAATAAACATCTGTTTGGGATGCTGTGATGCTTTTCAGTTTTAAATGAAATGAGAGCTGAAATGTATTCATATAATTTGCATAATAATGAAATGCTCAGCAAATTTAACAATATTTTGCCACGTTTTGAATGGTTGGTTTCTCTGTAAAATTCTCCCAATATGCAATTCCACAGCAGATCAAAGAGAAGCATCACAGCTTTCTAAAGCTTTACCTTGACTTTAAAGTTATCTGCCAATCTTAGTCCCAGACAGCACCCTGGGAATTCTCTCTCTCTCTCTGTCTCTCGCTCTCTCTCTCGCTTCTTTCTCGCTGTCTTTTATAAGTCCGTGTCGGCGTCTGAGCCGAATCTCTCAGTAACGCTGCGTGAGTGCATGGCAGAATAGCTTTTTTAAAGTGGCGCACTGGAAATGCAGGGGTGAAATCCGAACGCTTTCCCAGCATGCATGAGGCGCTCAGCAGGATTCCAGCAGAGTAGGAAATGCAAAAAAACGAGTGCAGAACACATTTTCAGCCAGGCCCATGGATACAGTGTTCAAAAACATCTTCTAAAAACACCAAAATCGTGTTAGAGCGTGGGATTATTAACTTTAGTATTAACCTTGCTATTATTAGCTTATGCTAGCTAAGTTTATCTTGTCGCAATATAGTAAAATAGTGGCATAATATTTTGCAACTGCATAAAACTTTGATAGGTTTTTTTTTTAGCATCTAGCATCTAGGTCTCTCCTGGAAACTTAAAGCAATAACTTTGGCCTAGAGATTTATGCCCAGGAATCTTAGATCAGTAACTCTACATCAGGAATATTGGTCCAGACCTTAAAATCCTGGAACATTAGACCAGGAATTTTGCCCTACAGAATTAAGCCTTGAGCCTTTAAACCATCAGCTTTAAACCAGGAACTATACCATATGCCCAAAAGTAGGTGGATATCTGAGTATTGAACATCCCATTCCAAAATTCAAATTAAGTTGTTCCCCCTTTGTTGCTCTTCTGAGAAGGCTTTCTACTAGATTTTATCCACAAGATAAAGGGCAGTGGTAGCTCAGTGGTTAATTTGTTAGCCTACTAATTGGAAGGTCATGAGTTCAAATCCCATTACTGCTAAGCTGCCACCGTGGGCCTTTGAGTGGTGGCAGCCTGGCAGTGCCGCGATTTGAACTCACATCATTTATACAACTGCTCAGTTGTATAAACGACATAAATGTAAGTCGCTCTGGATAAGGCCAAATGTAATGTAGATTTTGGAGCATGACTAGGGATTTGTCCATTCAACCACAAGAGTGCAAAACATCGGGCAATGATGTTGGTGCAATTGATGGTGTTGCCTGGTTCGCAGCCGTCATCCCAAAAGTGTTCAGTGGGGTTGAGGTCAGGGCTCTGTCCACGCCACTCAAGTTCTTCTACTCCAACCTTGGCACAACATGTCTTCATAGAGCTCGATTTGTGCACAGGGGCATCGTCATGCTGGAACAGGTTTGAGCCTTTTAGTTCCAGTGAAAGGATATCTTAGTGCTACAACATACATTGTGTCAACAGTTTGGGGAAGGAGCACATATAGGTGTGATGGTCAGGTGTACACATACATTTGGCAATATAGAGCATTGCCTTGACACGTAAGTACAGGGGATTTAGACCTGGAACTCTGGCCTACACACTTATGCCCAAGATGTTTGGACTAGACTCTTAAATCCAGGAACTATAGCCCAGGAGCTTTAGACAAGGAACTTTATATCAGGAACTTTGGCCTAGATACTTTAGCCCAGGAACTTTATACCAGGTAACTATGGTATAGACACTTAAGCCTTGGAACTTTGGCCCAGGCACTTAAATCCTGGAAATAAAGCCCAAGAACTTCATATAGCCTAGGAACTCTGGACCAGGAAGTTTGTTCTAGACAATTAAACCCAGTAACTTTAGTCCAGCAAATTTGGCCTATACAATTAAGCCTAGGAACCTCAGACCTTAGATCTGGAACTTTGGCCTTGACCCTTAAGTCCAGGAAATTTGGCCTAGACCATTAAGCTTAGGAGTTTTTAGGCTAGGAATTTTAGACAGGAAATTTGGCCCAGAGATTTAAGAAAATAACTTTAGCCCAGCATATTTAGCCTGAGAAGTTCATGCTAGGAACTTCAGCTCCAGTGTGCATACTTAAATGTTAAGATCATTTTGTTTCTAGCAAACATTTCTGTCTAAAATTGTCTGATGTTCATCTGATTTTCCTTTCTTTTAGCAAAAAGTTAATGTATCACTTAATAAGCTCTGACTAGATTTAAGAAATTTGAAGGTGCTAATCATTGTAGTTTTAGTTATGATTTCAGTCATACACAGTACAATATCTCAGGAGACAAAACAAGGCCATGCCCATGTGAAAAAGCTCATTATGTTGATCAGTCAAGCAAGCTTCTCAGATTACATAAAGGAAATGAAGTCACAGTGTTCCTCAACCATCACTCAACACACCACACAACTAAAAATAGACACACATGCAGTATCTTTCTGCATGAGCAAGTACAAGAAGATGAGAGGCTAATGTGCACTGAGGTCAGTGTTACAGTAATACGGTGGTTACTGAGCACTTTTAACCTGATTAAAGACTCAGGAGAGAGAGAGAGAGAGAGAGAGAGAGAGAGACTGTGCTCTCACTTAGTCTCCTCCTCCCATTATCTTTATCACTCTTTCACTATGCACAACATTTTACAGTCCATCAGAAACCTATTTTCCCCTCTCACACAACATGAATGTTTTACTCCATTTTCAATGGTAGGACCAAAATACTTACCAGCCTTATACTTCAGTTTCATTCCTGTTCGCCCTCATTAGCCAACTGTCCACAGAGCCTTAGCTCAGGAACTCAAACCTTGGGAACACAAACCTAGCAACTCAAAGCCAGACTCTCAAACCCAAACCACATCTCAAACCTATGAACTCAAGCCCAGGTACTCAAACCCAGGAACTCATACCTAGGACTAAATCCTAGGTATTCAAATTCAGGAACTTGAGTCCAAGAACTCAAACCCAGACACACAAACCGAGGAAGTTAATTCCAGGAACTCAAACCCAGGACCACAATACCAGACACAGAAACCCAGGCACTCAAACCCAGGACCACAATACCAGGCACAGAAACCCAGGCACTCAAACCCAGGAAACCCAAGCACTCAAACTTTAGAATTTTAGTCAGGAACCCTAATCCAGGGACTCAAATCCAGGAACTCAATCCCAGGTACTCAAACCTAGAGACTCAAAGCCAGGGACTCAACCCCAGAAAGAATATAGAAACATAGAAATTCAATCTTAGGCACTCAAACCAAGAAACTTGAGTCCAAGAACTCAAACCCAGGCACACAAATCCATAAACTCAAACCCAGGACCTCAAACTCATCAACTCCAATTCAGGAACTCAAACCCTGGAACTTAAATCCAGGGACTTAAACTCAAGGACTTTAACTTTGGGCTACAGTTCCAAGTTCCAGGTCTAAACTGTGTTTCCACTGTACAGCCACAGCTGCTGGCATCACACTTGCAACAGTCAAAACAATATGTGGCCAAGAACTTAAGCCCAAGAAGTTTAGACCTGGAACTTTACACCAGAAATTTTAGCCAGGGAATTTGAGACCACAAACATTAGCCCAGAAATATTAGACCACAGAGTTTATTCTAAGAACTTCAGACCAGAGGCTTCAGCCTTGACACTTAACCCCAGGCACATTAGGACAGGAACTATAGCTCAGGAACTTTAAACTAGAAAAACTTCAGCCTTGAGACTTAATCCCAGGAACTATAGCTCAGGAACTTTTGACTAGAAAACTTCAGCCATGAGACTTGATCCCAGGAACTATAGCTCAGGAACCTTTGACTAGAAAAACTTCAGCCATGAGACTTAATCCCAGGAACTATAGCTCAGGAACTTTTGACTAGAAAAGTTCAGCCCAGGAACTTCACCCAGGAACTTTTAGACCACAAACTTTTCACCAAATCTTTCAGCCCAGGCACTTATGCCCCTGACCTTTAACCTTTTAAGTGAATAGGGTGAGTACTAATCCAACCCTTTAACCATTTATAACTCCACATAGGAGCAGGCAGCAGCTGCATTTCTGTAATGTGTTCTCAATACATTTGATTTCTTCAGGCATGAAAATTGTTTGCGTTTATAAAATATCCCTCTCATTTTCCCCGTCCTTTCTCTCAGTTTCTCTCTCCCCGTTTTTCTCTCTCTCCATCTCCAAAACATTGATCGCTATTCTGATGAAATTCCTCTCCCTCAGCACAATGTGACGTGCGTCTCAGCACGAAATGAGATTTATTGAGAATTTGTCTCATGTCACACCCTGCTGGAGCTGCATAACACACACACACACACACACACACACACACACACACACACACACACACACACACACACACACACACACACACACACACAAAAGATCCATCACTGATACGGCATGCAGGTGAGGCTCAGCATGTGATTTAGCGAGCAGCTCTGTGGAATCGTCTCGTCAGCTAAACTCATTTTCATCTTAGCAGTTTATGAAGGCGTCCAATATTAAACCGAGATCACATGACCATAAAACTCGATTTCTCCTTTAGCCTGACAATTTAAACTCAAAATTTCACTCTGTCCAGTTCATGGTTTTATTAGACTAGCCTTTCAAAGTAAGAAGGTGAACAATACTTTTTTTAAACTACAACAAATTAATTTTTTTTGGTTGCAATCATATTAAAAAATTATAACAGTATGCTTTCAAGTTGTGGTCCTGACAAATTAGTCTTCTGTTATGACCTTGTGTTTATTTTTGTATCTTTTTTTTTTTAGTGTGTATATTTACATTTTGGTCAAAAGCAATTGAATTTATATTTAGAATTTATATTTTGCAGAATTGTATTCATGTTTGTTCATTCGTTTGTTATTCTTTCTCTCTCTCTCTCTTTCTTTCTTTCTTTACTTTATTGATATAAATATTTAGCATTTATTATCTTATCTACTACTCTAAGCTATCTTTTGCAAAATGCATGTGTCAGTCTGTCATCTATGCGTGTCTAGATGAATGTGTGTGTGTTTGTGTGTGTGTGTGTGTGTGTTTGACCTTTATTTATGCAAGGGTTTGCGCTGTTTAAAGTCTGAGGCTCAGACATGTGAGCGCTGAACTCCAGCAGCGAGTCATTGACATTCAGCTCGACTCGGCGAAATCAATCGCATCCCATCACCCGGCGCTCAAACATCAAAAATCATAAATCACACGTTACATGAATCCTGAAACGCTGGGTCTCAGTCTGCAGTGCAGCTGCTCAGCTGTGAGCCTTCACACTTTACTCCTGAACACTTCTGAACACCAGGGCGAGTGTTTTATAACAATCTGAAAATCATGATAGTCCTCTCTATTCATCATTTATTATACTTTTATTTTACTTGAAAGTATCCAAGAAATGACAAGTGCTTACTTTTATCTGGCACTTTTATAGCTAGATGAGATAGATAGATAGATAGATAGATAGATAGATAGATAGATAGATAGATAGATAGATAGATAGATAGATAGGTCCAGAATTATTGGCACCCTTTTATAGATAGATAGATAGATAGATAGATTCAGAAGTATTGGCACACTTTGAAAGATAAATAGATCTTTCAATGGAGAAAATATCTTTGGTCCAGAATTATTGGCACCCTTTTATAGATAGATAGATAGATAGATAGATAGATAGATAGATAGATAGATAGAGAACTATTGGCACCCTTTTATAGATAGATAGACAGACATATAGATAGATAGATCCAGAACTATTGGCCCCCACTGATATACAGATAGATAGATAGATAGATAGATAGATAGATACATACATACATACAAACATAATTATTGGCAACCTTCGATAGATTGATAGACAGACAAATAGATAGATAGATCCAGAACTATTGGCCCCATTGATATACAGAATGATAGATAGATAGATAGATAGATAGATAGATAGATAGATTGATTGATTCAGAAGTATTGGCACACTTTGAAAGATAAATAGATCTTTCAATGGAGAAAATATCTTTGCTATGCATACTTTTTTCTGTGGCCAAGTATTTTATGTACACATGACTGTCGTGAGTG